GTGGGTGTGGGTGGGTGTGGGTGTGGGTGGGTGTGGGTGGGTGGGTGGGTGTGGGTGTGGGTGTGGGTGTGGGTGTGTGTGTGTGTGTATATATTTTTTTATCTACCGATGCCTACCTGTGCAATTTTGGCATGCTCCGATGTGGCCGTTCAAAAAGTTGTGCTTGGAGAGTCGCCCGGAAGTCGGGAATTGTGTAGAGCTGGACTCCTCAACTCCCTCATCCGACTATCACCAGCAGAGGCGCAACAGTCCTCTCCGCGTGCACCAGCGGATCTCCCTTACATTAAAGGGCTGGCACACAGAGTTCTCTGTGGCATGATCCTACAATCTGAGGCACGGGATCCACTGGGCAAAGATGCAATGATATGCAACGCATGGAGGCCATGCACGCTATGCCGTGCAAGACTGCAGATTCTGCCCCAGCCATTCCGCAATGGTCCTGTACCGGCGAAAGGCCAAAGACCAAGTTGGATCTTGGATCAGAACCCACGCGCAAAGTCCGAATCATTGTCAACGTATTCAGCAAGTATGGTAGCAGAGCTGTAAGGAGGTTGGTGGCAGCATCTGCCGAAGATCCTTTTTCCAACTTGCTCACTCAGGCATTGTCCCCGTATGGCATGCGTACAGAATTCACAATTATGCAAGCACCCGACGCAGATGGGCACTGTCAAGTCGACATGCTTCATGGGGCTGGGATCAAAGCACGGGAGACAAGTTGAAGCTGGATCTGTGCCTATTTTGGGTGTGTCACCCCGCGAAAGACCCCGAGCACCCGATAATAAACCCATGCAGGCCATGCATGCATCAACTGGCGCGTCAGAGGACAACCCTGCTCAGCTCATGACGGAGCTTAGCCTCGGCAGCTTGAGCTGTTCGGGTAAGAGTAGGCGGGGCTGGGGGGCTAACATCCGGTCTAAAGCGTATTCGCTGAGGGGCTTATAGAAAATGTGATATATAAGAAGAGTGAAAGTTGAGCACGCGGGTTCTGAGAAATATTTTTTCGGCGAGTGTGAGCAGTGGATTTCGCAGACACATGTGTTAAGCTTTTTTCGCCCTGATGTGTCATACTCTGAGAATAAAACAGCCATGACTCATGACCGTTGCTTGCCCAGCGGCGATGTCTGCCATCTGCAGGCGGCACGACTCACGCCTTCCGGCGATGCTGCCGCTGTCCAGGCAAGGCAGGCAGGGAGCCTCAAAGGCGACCCGCTCTGCTGCGCAACCACGACCGGGCATCGGTCAAAACAGCATCACCAACACCACTGCCACTGCTGCCACAAGCACAAGAACGAGCACCGTTCATCTCTCTCTCTCTCTCTCTCTCTTTCTTTCGCCAGGGCTATGGTGCAGAGGGGAAGCCCTCTCTCTCTCTCTCTCTCTCTCTGGTCAAAGCCCCCGGGCGTCAAGCCCACCCGATCATTGTCGGGACGAGGGGAGTGAAGTACGAATGTAGCTCATCATGAGACTAAGGTCATACATGATACGATATCGCAACTATCATGAGTGTACATTATCCAAGACAAAGAGCTTGAGCTGGAAAACATGCAATGAAGAAATGCCTATAACCAACTCGCACGAACAAGTAGCAGTAAAAGATGTCAGGACTGCATGTTTTCTCCCCCAGAGTCATTTCGACTTCATGGGACACTCAAACTTTAGGGGAAAGTTCCCCTATGTTTTCTGCATGTCGATCTCATTTGTGAAAGCACTCTCTTTCTCTCTTTCTTTCTGTCTTTCTCTCTTTCTTTCTTTCTTTCTTTCGCCAGGGCTATGGGCTTTCTCTTTCTTTCTGCAGGGCATAGGGGTCGGTCTCCCCGACCCTCAGGCCATCGGCCCGCCCAACCACTCAAATATTATTGAGTGGATGGCTTCTGGGGTCACACTGACTGCTGTACTAGGGGACCAAGTGTGCTCAATGTTTTCAGTTGGGAGCCCTCAGCCCTGTATGCTAGTCACCCCCAACGCGCAAAGGGGCTTTCTCTCTCTCTCTCTCACTCTCTCTCTCTTCATGTTGTCGGGCTTTGTATCGCCAGGCACACTCCCTTAGGCTCTCCTCGAGTCCGGATGTCGTCAGACCCATTTCTTTCTTTCTTTTGCAAGGGATCTCTCTCTCCTTAAGCAGGGCATGGGCGAGGCCCTGGCGCTCAGAGCTGTGAAGTGCAACGCGTACAACCCTAAGCCTTAAGCCTGGGCTTAGGGCCTAGCTACTGGCATCTCGCAGTCGCGAAGTGTTCGGGGAGCAAGGTCGGGCGTGGATGCTTGGACTGCATGGGTTCGCGCATGGACGTGCACTCAGCCGATGTTCTGGTAACCTGGACAGTGCTCAAAAAGGCCGTCTGGGCTCTGGTACACGGAGGCTTTCGAACAGTTAAGTTACAAGTGCTTGCAGATTGGTGCAGGCTTTGACGTCAGATAGCTATCGCCTAAGTTCGTTGTGGATTCAGCCCCACCGTGTTGTCCAAAAACGCATGCGGTATGAAGGCAAACGCCCCTGGTTCCAGTACAACTGCAATCGATATCTCTGTTTCCAGCAGGCTCCCTCGCACGTTGTCGTTCAGGTGTTTCCGGTCCGTCGACTTGGCATGCCGAGCCTGTTTGGCAGCCAGGATGTACAGGTCGGGGCACTCGAGTTCTTTCTTTCCTGTCAGCGCAAAGGATGACCACATCGCTTCGAAGCTACTGGCACGGATGTGTGAGCTTGGCTTTGTCAGCTAGCAACCACTGCCACTTCCACAGAACATTCTCAACCAGCAGACCTGAAGCAAGCAGACCACAGAAGTCCAAAGTAGTCCATCGCCGAGGTGCGGCAGAAACGACGGAAGTGATGCGAGAGGTCATTGAGAAGAGGCTGGACGAGACGAAGGGCTGCGTCGTGCATCTCGCTCCTGACAGCTATTGAAAGACACAGCCTAATTGCTTCAGCTTCAACTCAGAAGGCTCAATGTTCTTCAAACCTACCAGTAATAACACAAAGTCTCATGAGCCCTTGGGATAAAATACGAGGAAGCCGCGCAATTGGACTACAGATGCTCATGGAAACCACAAGAAAAATGGCTTGCACATTCCCCGTTTCTTTGCGCAGGCATTCGGCTAGGCTAGACTTTATGCCATGCTGCGTGCGGCAGGCGACGGCAAGCTGGAGTGTCTCGTCTCTCTCAACGGTTTGCCCATCAGCAGTGTGGACTTCCTTGTAGCCGCTGCCTGCCAGTCACTTCGTTGCTAAGCTGTCGGACGACAACCTAGCTGCCCACTTGCATGCCTATCTTCACCTAATTCTCGTGCCTCGCCCACACACCCGCGCGGCCGCACCGATGTTCTGGATAGGCAACATGTTGCAGCCGCGTTTACCAATCAAACGCGGAACCAGCTCAAACTCAGCATGCTTCTCCTGATGCATCCGAACTCACTCATCATGCATCAGTGCCATCTGTTCAAGTTATGCAATGCCACGAGTCTATGGCTATGAGACTCATGCCCGCACTGAAAGGCCGTGCACACTTGACATCACCGTGACTCAGCTGAGCATCATGATCGTAGCCTGTGAACACCACCGTGAAAGTGAAGTCCAAAGCCTTCTTCATGCTCTTCATGGAGCTCCGTCTCGCACCACGCTTCGGCTGTCCCTGGCCTCTCGCCTTCGTGACCCGCGGTGAGCTCAGAGCTGGGTCAAGCTCTGGCCCGTTCATCGTCTCCGCTTCGGCGAGCTCATGTTGCTTGGACCTCACGACGCCAGGAGCCGGCTGCGGCCGTGTCCAAACCGGTGGCACCCTCGGGGTCGGAGCTGACAGGGGCAAAGCTGGCAGGGGTGCCACGAGAGGCAGCAGAGGGTCGGTCAAGAGGTTCAAGGCAACGCGGAACTTCGATGCCAGGAGTTCTGGCCGGGCACTCTCTGAGAAGACAAAACTTCCACGATTTCCAAGGTGCTCGTTGCTGGTCTCTGACACCCACCAGGGCGCATATGAGATGGCGTTGCTTTTCACAGGCAAGTGTTGCGAAAGGACACTCTGATCGAACGGAAAGTAAGTCGGCAATCCTCAGCTGCTGATGCATTAATCTAGGCAGATGTCTGTGCGCATCTTTCAAGGCTGGAGGCCTTACGTGCTTAAAAGCATCCCGGCAACTGTTCTCGCCACATAATGTCGGGGAAGTGCACCGTCTATCACACTGCCCACGTTCCGAGCATACAATGATTTTGGGGCGGCTCCCACGACTTGGAGTTGGGTTTCGGGTCCTTCATCAAATTTTAACGTAGCGATCTTTGTTTAAAGGCTCGCAGCGTCGGAGGGGTCACCATTTCAGAATTTCAGTATTGCTCGGTGGGCTAGCTTTGGAAATGGCTCCTGGCAATCGCAACAATCATCGCGAGGGAAATAGTAAATCTAACACTACAGCAGCGTACCAAACCTTCATGATGCTTCACAAGATTTCAGAAGTGTGCATATGCAAAGAGAGTTGTTTCAGTCTTCGCACATTGATGCTCGTAAATGCTCGTAGTTAATCGCAGGTGAAATGGATGCGGCTGACAGCTTTGTAATGATGCAGCTTTGGCACCCACGTCGGCACAAATCTCGTCCCGAAATGCCATGGCTTCAAGGATTCGCTGACCACCCACACGTCACTGAGGGCAGCGGAAACGCAAAACAGACAGCGTCCACAGAAACCTTGCTCTTCAGCTCGAGGCAACAGTGACGGACAACCGTAACGGAAACCAACCCGTCTGCGCCTTTCCGTACTGCGTGCGCACTGTGCCCAACATCTCCAACCTGGTACTGGCTTTCAATCTCGGAGATCTTTGTTCTTGCCTGCTCTCAAAGCTTGCAGCGGAGGAGTAGAGGCATCGCGGCCCCCACATAGCTTACTTGTGGTGCTTGAATTCGGCTGCCACATTTGGTGTTTCTGCCAGTTTCATGCCAAGCATTCTCAAATTTGGGTAATCTGCCGTCAGCAATTTCCCGGAGCTTTCAACTCCGGTCTGGGGTCGCCGGCGATATCGTCACCTCCTCGCCCGTGCGGACCTGCGTCAGGGACAGAATCCGGTGCTGATGCTTCCGGAGTTGTCACTCCGCTGGATAGCCAGGATCTAAGTAGGGTTCCTTTAAAGGGATCCTTAAAGGGTTCTATAAGTAAGGGGATCTATAGTCAGCTATAGCTTGTGCTCTGTCCGACAGTGTTCTCATGCTTCGAGGCTTGGGGCTCCAGGGCTCCAGCAGCTGCTTCGAGCTCGGCGTCCCCAACGGCGCCGGAAGAGTCCCAATCTCAGGAAGCATTCACGATCTTCAAGGCAAGGAGCAATGCTCTGGACCTATGCAGTGCAGGGTCTCGGTTGCTAAGGCCATGTGCCTGATCCCACATGATGAAATGATGAATCACCAAGTCATCGCTTCGTGTTTGGGTGGCGAACTTCTTTGGGACCATGACCAATTTCTGCGTCGCATTGGCATCATGTGGAAAGATTCAACAAATTGAGCTACGTCGCACGAAGGTTTAGCCGCCGTTCGCCCAATGTGTAAGGTGTTTTCGATCATGCTGCCCTCCCCGGCTTTGAACCTGTTTTCATCCCGGATCTTCATTGCCAAAGTGTGCATTGGTACATTGCGCTGTTGTGCCTGATAGGGGCGTGGGTCTTCCTTTCTTGGTTTCCTCCTGCGCTATGTGACATCCGGAAAACACCAACAAATGCACGCACTTACACACGGTGCACGATGTGATATGGCTTTTGGCACTGTCCAGAATGTCTTCGCCGTTTCAGCATGCTGCATGTCTGCCAACTTGTTGTTGGCTTTCCATGTGATTCGACCTGACGGTCTGCTTCCAAGTGTATTGAAACTTGCGCTTGCACTGGTCATTCGCCGCACCGACAGGAGTAAAACGGGTCTCCAGAATCTCTACAGAACCGCTCATGTACGCGGCCGAGCCAAGAAACGCCGAACTCACTGAGAGCTGCGCCATAAGGCTCCACTTGGCGTGTCTCCTCGTTCATGCTGGGAGCAACATGTCTGGCCAGATCACAATCTGGCAGCAGAACGAGGCAGAAGACTTCCTTGTCCTCCATACGATGAACAGAATAGCGTTCTACCATGTATGCGAAGGTCACTGAAGGCTTGGAATGAAACCGGCGAATGGAGGAAGGGAGTGGGAGACAACAACAAACTGGAATCCGAATCCAAACCCGAGCGCGTCCTTAAAAGTCAGGTCCAGCTCGTCGTGCAGACCTTGCCGGCCCAGATCCGGCAGCGGGGTTGAGCTGCCAGAGCTTCTGTTAGGAAGCAGAACATCGGAATTGGCATCGTGCAACCGCCTGCCCCAGTATACAACGGAGAACGAATGATTCGAGAGTCTGAGATCCAGGCGCTCTCCAAGAGCACCCAAGCCTGACCAGTGTGATGGAGTCGTTACTTTTCGTGTTTCCCAGTGTGCCTGTTGCACTGGTCTGTCTCAAGGTGGCCATAGGAGAAGCATCATGCGACAAACCTACCGTGGACTTAACTGCTTGCTCCACGCTCTTCCGTGCTGCGAAGGTCTGAGCATCTTCACACAGCAAAGCTCTCGAAGTCGGACCCTTGGGACCTGAAAGCACCTTGCTGTGAAGGGCGAAGTCAGAACCTCGCGGTGCCGTGGCAGGCCCTGCATCTAAGGAATCTAAAGGTCTAAGCCTGCAGAGCTCGCAGGACTCGCAGGGCACATGGCAATGTTTCTTTGCAGCACTGAACTGCGGCAAGATGCTAATTGATGTCCTTGGTATGACCATGAATGCGGCCGACAGTTCGAAGAAAAGACCAAAAGAAAACTTTAAAGTTAAAGCTTTCTTCCAGAATAGCGAAAGCGGTGCGCCTTGTTCGCTGGCTTGCAGCAGCTGCCGTCCGTCGCTCGGCTCCTGGTCCTTCTTCGTATCCTGGTGAACACACAAAAACTGCAGCTTTTTTGACAGGCCAGGCCGAAAAGCATCTGCTGAACACCGCCATGCAATGCAAGTCCTCCGCGGCGTAGGTGCGCCAATTCCGCATCAGGTCAGCGACTGTCCTCCAGCTGCCGCTGCAGATTGTCTTTCGCAAAGCTATAAACAGGAATCATGCTGCCGCGCGCTTCTCATCCGTCGGTCCTGACCGTGTTGCTCTGCCGCCGATTACTTTGCGATCGCTGGCGTCCAGCACGCAGAGCATCTGGCATGTCTTGAGATGGTTTCAGTGTCCTTTTTGGCGCTTGCCTTCTGGCTTTTTGCTGGGCTCCGGTCTTGAACCGTTGAGCTACCCAAAGGGAACTTGCGAATGCTGCAAGTTGAGTCTCAACGTGTCGCTCTCACTGACCAGTCCAGCTTCTACTCCCTGTGTGTAGGGCAGGAGTTGCAAGCGTTTGTTTTGGAGGCGCGCTCTAGACACTTCTGGAGTCATCTTCTTCGTCGCCATTTCGGACGTCCTGGAAGCAAGAGACGCTTTACTCACAGGTTTCGACACGGAACCAACGGCCGCTTGCCGCTGATCCGACTTCGAAACGAAAGCACATCGCAGGTTCAGGACAATAGAACAATTTCTGCAACACTCCTCGTCCAAGTCCGCACGCTGCACAAGCTCCACACGGCTGAGATCGGAATACCTGTCAAGATGTCGTCAGATGTATGGATTCACATTGGTTGGAGCAAAGTTCATGTTCGAGAGTGAACAGCCGAGACCTAGGGGTTGGCGTTTCGAGATATTTACTCAGGCGTGCTCCAAGGCATCGTGACGCAGCACCTCCACCTCCCTGCATGATGGCACTCATGATGTATCCCAAGTGTCCCGAAGCTAAACGAGGTCCCCTGATCCCACACAGAGACAAAGCGATCTGAAACCAAGGCCCCTTGCTCGCATCCTGCATGGTTGGCATAGTTTGATCGCTTTAAGGGGGGCCGATCTGACGTAGCAGCATGATCTGACGTGGACGACCTTCTCATTAACGGTAGCATTTCAAGAAGATTGCTTGTAACCGTCTCTAATGTCAATGCTTCGATCTGCGAATATGCAAGAAAAGCTTGTGTCAGCTGGGGCACTCCCCACCGCAGAGCTCCATCACCTCTGCACAGGTATGCATGTTGCGTGCAATGATAAGATCTGAGTGCCTCAGCAGAGACCTGTAATCTTTCGGAGCCTCTCCTTGACACGCTCCAGCTGCAGCTTCTCATGCGCCGCTCCGAGCTGCAATCGACGCGCCAGTCGCACAGTGTGCCATCAACTCGCGTTGGAGCACAATGACAGTGCATGGTTTGGCTCATGCCCCCTCCATCCTTGAAGTCCCGTCGCACGCGCCACGTCTCCCGACATGAAGTCTTTTCGCCTCCTCAGATTCATGTTGTCCTCGCGAACCGTACGAAGCTGGACTCTGGTTGTCGTGAAGCTGACGGGCGTTTAGTGGCCTACAACTGCACAACTTCTACACCTTTCGGCAGATCCGCGCTCTCCTCGAACCGCTATGCCGCTATGCGCCGCGCAAACTAAGCCCACATCTTTGCGCTCTCTCCCTGATGGCAAGTCTATGCCCACAAAGTAACTGCTTCCTTCGAGACAGTGCCCCCCCAGCCTCGTGCCACAGCGGCTTCGGCAGACCCAGGCATTGCCTTTGCACGAAACGCCACAGGACGTAAGCCCACACCACAAGCCGTGAAAGCTTGGAAGAAGGCAGGCTCAGGGGCTGCTGGAAAGGTCGATGTTAATCCTGCTCGGGCTTGGAGCGGAAGAGAAAGAAACGATCTTTGAAGAGACAGACAAACAATTAACACGAAAGCCACAGGCTCCTGAAACATTGCGTGCGCACACATCTAGCTGGCCTTAGAATCTCAGCTATGTAAGAATATAGACGGACGCTTATGCGGCCAGCCACTTCAACGTCAACGGCCGTGCAGAAGCCATGGAGATCCATGCGAAGTCGTCCGTGCGCAGGTCCCTCGGTTTCCACTCTGAGGCATTTCAGGCTATCGCAGGCCGCAGGCCAGCTTAACAAAAGCAGCTTTGGGGGGTGGCCCATCTTCCGAAAACGATACGGTTCCTGAAAACCCCACGGGATTGCATGGAGCCGTGCGGCAGGTGTCGGCCAACGAACCAGCGGAAATCTAGAGGGGAGTACCTGGCGACAGGGCTTTACAAATGCTCGAAAGTGGGCCGAAGGAAGCGCACATGTCCGGCCATTCAACCTTCGCTTCATCCCGGAGTCAGACATGCAAGATTCACACTTCACGATTCTGGGGACACAAGAAGAGGTAAGGAGGGGCTGCTGAAAAGGGAGCTCCACGAATTGTTTGGCAACAGCCAGAAGCAGAATTAGTACAAGAGAACATGGACAAGGGCAAAGAGGCACGTGGGGCCCTAGCAAAACCCCACGGGCACCTTCCAGCAAGTATCCCGTCGATTGCAGCCTCGACACCTACCAGGAAGCAGACTGCTAGTTGAGAAAAAGCTGCAGCTTTGCCAGTAGCTTTCGTCATCGCCTAAAAGACGTCACCAACAGAAGCTACTGCACCCAGAAATATCCATCGAAGAACCACGACCGCCTCCTTGGTAGATGCGAGTTCCCGGTGCCAGCTCCGATGACCCTTCAAGCTCAAAGCCGTGGATCAGAAGTCCTCCGCGCGGGCCCACAGCACGGCGATCCAGCAACCCCGAAGCATCTCCCTCCCTTGGGGATTTTGCTTCTGTACTCTGAGGCCTCCAGAGAATGCCGCTGCGACTTGGCAGAACCTACCCAATCCTGGTGCACTCTGCATCTCCGGACCGCCAATGTAAACTGCAGCGTTGTCGCCAAAAGCCTGGGCTGGGCAGAGGATTCTGTAAAGACTCTGAGCTTTACTTCTAGCAACGGGCAACTTCAGAGAAATGTTTGCTCCACAGTCTAGAAAATCCGTGTGAACATTCTGAGGGCAATGCAAACATCCCCAAAAGCAGTCTTGGTAAGATCTGCGCATTCTTACAAACTCTCACAGCAGTCCGCCTTTCGCGGGCAGAAACAGCTCGCGATGGATGTTTTGGTGGCTGCCGTTGCAGGCCCCATCGTCCAAACAGTGCTTCCAAGCCCCCGACCCTCGTCACCAGAATTCTTACGTTTCTGCTGGTCAGAAAATCATTGCTCAACGTCGGACAGCAGATGTCGAAACGTGCAAGCTGCAAGACTGTATCGCCTTGGAGGCCTGGGGCTTCGATCGTCAACGGTGTTCGTATCACTTGGTCTGTTCCACAGTCAATGTTCCTCTCATGGGCTCGGTAGCACTCTTCGTCGACAGGCTCTCTCTGCATCGGAATTCGTGAGCAAGCACGAAAGAAATCTGATTTTGCTCCCACTCTTCCCGTCTCGAAACCTCCAAAACTCTGCATGGTGCTCAGTCCTCAAAACATCGGTCGACACGTCAGCTGCAAGAAAAGAGAGCATGCTGCTACCAACAATCGACCTGCCCCCTGAGGTCCCAACTTCGAGAAAGCGGTACTGAAGCCTCTGCTGATCCCTCTGCTCCTGCAAGTGAGACGCTGTCAGATCGACTTATACCTTGTAGCCTTAGCAGTCGAGATTACCGACACCGACACGCGTTGACAACGACGACGGCAACAGGCAAGATAATTTGATGATGAATGATTCTAAATGATGACTTAAATTCGAAGCTCTGCAACAATCAAACTGTTGCGCTGTCCAAGAAGCAGCACATAAGAAAGGGTACAGACTTGTTCCACCCACTCTTTCTTCAACCATCGTCGTCATCGCCATCATTATCATCATCGTTCCTGAAGATTGCTTGTACTATGTAGATACATGGAGCCTTATATCTTGACTTATTGTAGAATTATAAGTGCCCTAAACCCAATTAGGATTCTTTTTAGGGTATGTTCCAAGCTGCTGTCAACAGGGCAGCAAGGGAGGGGGGCATTGGCAACGAGTCTCCAAAGCGGGATCCGGGATAACATGTCTTCCGTCCAGGGCAGCTCTGTGGGATCAAATGCTGGAAATGATGACAATGCTGATCGTGTCGATGCTGGTGAAACGATCAGAAGAGCATGAAGAACATCAGGAAGATTGGCATCATGCTGACCGTGTTGCTGATAACGATGACAGCAATGAGCGACTCGACTCTGTCGGTCCTCTTCGCTGAGCGGGTCACTGGCAGCAGCCGGGGAACCGAAGAGGAGGAACCGCGCCAAGGCGTCGTCCACCGACCTCGACTCGATCTCGAGCCAGATCGCCAGGTCAGGTCCCAAGAACGCATCCATGGAAGACGCCACGATTTGCAAATGCTCAACATGCTCAGCCCAAGCTCGATGTCATCAGAAAAGCACGAGCATGTGACACGTCTGATTGTTGCGAGCTTGCAGCAGGCTGGCACACTTGCAAAGCTCGCTCCCCCAAGATATCGATGCGTTTTAGGTCTTACAAATTGTTAGGACTAGGATGCAGGACTGTAAGGCTTCCTGCTGACATTTGGTCCAAAACGATTTTAGAACAGCACGCTTGAAAGCTGCACCTGGCGAATGGACGATTTATGGCGACGGCCTGACCGGGCATCGAAATGCAATAGCTGACTTCCAATCTTTGACCCCACTCGATTTCACAGGGTCCGGCAATGTCAATGCGAGTTGGAACAGCCGGGCAGATTGGAGATCCAGACACATACGGGCACCTCGCCTGTGCAGCGCAACTGGTGGAAGCGGCTTGAAGCACCAGGCACACCGACTGCCAGGTGCGCTCCTGTCACGTATGTCCACTGAACTTCAGGGCACTGCATGGTGTTAAAACTCAAAGTTTGAAGTTCAGCAGTGTCGTCGATGTTCAGGTTGCTTCAGTCCCGTGGCCTCGAACTCCAGCGAAGTCATGTTGAGAGACCATAAACCGATTAGTCATCCCTTCAACGGACTGCGATGTCCCATCCAAGCTTGGGAAAGGTGCCGTGAACTCGAAGTCAACAATGGCAAAGCTCAAAAAGTAGCGAATGTGCGGACCCCATGCAATCCGAAATTTCGACAAACCCGCGTCCATGCTTCCGTACAGCATCACCAGCTCACGGCCCTTGGCTGGAAGGGCGTGGAAAGTAAGAGGCTACTCATATCCTACCAGCGGGGCCATGCCTGCGCTGAATTCCGAAACCACCTGGTGTCTCGTGCATCTTGATTACCAAGCCACTGCATCATCCAGAGAGCGCATGTCAATTCCTCGTTTCTCACGCATCAGGGACGAGACGGCCATGTACAGACAAGCGACTGCAACAAGTGATATCCAAGCTGCCATTCTGCTTCGCGCTGGCAGCTATTTCTAGCAGAGCCTCTAGCACGGCTTCATCCCATCATAGAATAAAAGAAGGATGCAATCACTCTTGATGCGCGCCAATGGTCATTCGTGCGATCTTCACTTCGGAAGATTCTCGGGGGTGGCTCTGGCTGTCGGGATTGATCATCAAGAGGCTTGATTCACAATTTGTTCCAAGGGGCCGTTTCTGTCAGCTTGTCAGCTACCTTGTAACCTCAGCAAAATTTCTGCGGAGCTCTTCCATCTCATGCCCCCGTTCTTTTCTCGTGGATCTTGTCTTTGCACCAAGACCCAGCCAGAAGTCTCGTTGCGAACAGAAGCCACTCATACGGCACCCCTGCAGCAAAGGTACAGAACATCGTGTTTTGCGACCAGGTCTCAAAGAGCTCCTGGTGCAGATGGGACTCTGCTGCTCATGGATGACTTTACAGGGCGGATGACCAGAGAAGGACTTGCCGATGTAAACCGGAACTTGCCAGTCCTCAGGTTGCCGACCGGAGACCTCGCGGACTCTCGCAGACGTTTTCCAGGATGCAACATGATGCCACAGTCAGCACGGCAGCCATGTAATCAGAGTCGAGAGAGGTCAGAGCGTCGCCGCCCTGGTGCCTGGGGAACCCTTGGGACAAGCCTCTCAACTGCCTAGCCTGGCCATTGGCCTGCGCTTTTTGCTCTGCGGGGAGACTGCGCCTCCGGCAGCTCCTGGAGGATCCGCTCTCGAAGCCGTCGAGCCCAGAGAAAGTCGCTGCTGTTCTCAGTGATCAAAGCATGAAACGCGAAGCACTCGCCGAGTGCCTGTGCTGCCTGCGCCTGGCCTGGCGCATCAACCAGGTGATCTGAGCAGGAAGTGGGCTGCGGCAGAGCAGTCCGCCCACCTGGTGAGCAAGGCCGTCTCAGTTTGTCCAGCTGCGACGCTATTCAGGTTAAGTCGAGCGGTGCACCGGGGGATGGGTTGCAATCTCAAGCTGACGATGCTCGTGCACATTCGAGCATGCGGAACGACATCACAACGGGCTTCATGGCCTCTACCGGAGCAACGTGCGCCCAGACACCGTTCATGTACTCCTCGGATGGAGCTGCCGGCACCGAAAAATGAGGCGGAAGCTACGATGTTTTGAAAACGATTGAGTTTGGGCGGGCCAGCCGATGCATCCGCCAGGTCAACAGTCAAAGCAGCTCTGACGTCAAAGTGCTGACCTGCCAAGCAACATTCCAAAGCTCCTGCAAAAGGCTCGTGTCTGAAACATTTCCAGACCACAATTCGGGTCCCGCGTCTGCTCGCCACTGCTACCAGTGCTACTAGCAACTCCAGATTCAAAATTTCACGACTCCCAAAGAATCTTGCAGTTGGGACGTGGCGACCGGGTCCTCACTCTGACTCCGCAAGAGCTGCGCATTCTTTGGGGCCACGGTTCGCCTCTCGCGGCCAGTAGCTTCCGCCTCCTTGCAAGGAATTTGGTATACTTTAGGCCAAGACAGCCGGCAGAAGTGCTCGCACCTGTCGTTTCTTCAGATCCAGGCTATCTCTGATGCTCGCGTAAAGCCGCGGATCACGCAACAGCAACTGTCAACGGCATCTGAATCTGAACTTACACGAGACGACGGGGCCCTAAGAGGCAAGACGAACGCAGACAAAGCCAGTCTGTACATCCTCCAGACTCTTTCGACTAGTCTCTACACTGCAGGGCGGCATGGTCTGTCATTTGTGAAAAAAGTCCACGGTCAACATCAATGTTCATGTCCTCGCGGGCGATGAGCTGGGCCCGGAAGTCGCGCCACGCCTCTGCACAGTCCCAGTGGCCGTCTACTGTCGCGAAAGACTCAATCTGTGCATTGCGCTGAACACAAAAGAACTGCCAGCCCCGGACACAAAAAATTAGTGTTGCACCCTATCCGGCCTCTGGCGACGGGCCGCTTCCCTGGCCGAGCACGACTCGGAATTTGATGCTTCTGAACATTCGAAATCCGCCACTGTGACACCCGCATCGCCATACCTTGAGTCCCGTCAGCCTAGCCTCTGCCGCTCGAAGTGACACTCGAGGTAGCGAGAAAGAGGGACCATGGCGAAGCAACCTTTGCAACATTGAAAAAAATCAGCGAGTTTGGGTGATTTGGGTGCTTCGGCAGCGTTCCACGGCCTAACTTTGCTCCCGCATTCAGTCCCGTCGCCACCAGAACCCAACTCTCAAGCGCCCACCTCTGGACCGACCTCAACATCAATCAACCTTCAAAGACACAGAGAGAGAGAGAGAGACTGACAGCTCCTAAACCCTACTCCTTGATCCCAAGCTGCAATGCTTACCCAGAAACATTGCCGCAAGGGGAACTGGGGGAGGGCATACCCACAAACAGTCCTCCCGTTCAAGCAGACTACAGGACCGGCCGCATTATCCTGGGCTGGCAGTGACGTAGAGAGCGTAGGTCGACCGTGGCACCTTCCACAAATCCAGGTAGCTGCGTATCTCCTCCATGCGGACGGATGCTGAAACCTCTGGGTCATTCCAGCGCCTGTAGTCGTAGCGGAACTCAGCGAAGTAGTGTGCATCGACTGGGCTGGCAACACGTAGTGGGTGGCAAAAATGACACCCATACCATAAAGCTTCGACCCGACTTCCATGCAAAACATCGTGGGCGTCTGCATGAACGCTTCTTGCCATCGCGCTCCTGTGGATAAAGACAGCATCAAATCCAATCAGCTGCCCCAACTGGTAGCCCAACGGAAAAAGGAGCTCGGTGAAGGCTGAAAGAGAGCAGTGAAGAAAATGCCCTCTGCGCCCCTTGTCCTGGCTAAGCTCTAACAGGGAATCGCCAACACCTTCTGTGAAATTGAAAGGTCTGAAAACAATAGGCGGTGGAATGAAGGAGTGGACCTCGACATGGATCAGCATCGGAAGCAACGGTGGTCCATCTGGCTGCTGTTTGAGGAGTGCCTCGACAAAGCAGCAATCACAGTTATCCACGTCCACCTTTGCCAGCAATAGGTCGGAAGCCGAGGCGGGATAGTCCATCTCTGTGTGCCGAAACTCCTCCACCGCTGTCATCATGCTGCGTGGTGTCGCAGGCTCGAGCTCTAGCTTCACGCCTGCACGTGATTCATGCAGGCGTTGAAGTGCCACGTGGGCCTCCTGATCGCCTTCGAAAAGAATTCCACGCACATCCTGCAGAGCCAGAAGCAGGCAGTTGGCTGGATCGTTACCGTCTTCAGGACCACGTTCGTAGCGGCCGTCCTGGCGTATTGCATCGTGGATGCAGTCGCCGTCTCCAGCTCCAACGTTGATCACCCAACGTGCTCTTCTTGAGCTGTGACTGGTTAATGCTAGAAAAGCATCTTGAGCCATGCTCTCCTCCAGCCGTGGCGACGCATACCACCACAGCAGGTCTTCTCTCCCGCAGACATTGCTGGGGCTCAGCAGCACCGTTGCGCGAGGGACACGAACAATCGGGAAACTGTCGTCGATGACTCCTACATCAAGGTAAACAGCATGCCGCAGGAGGTCATGCAGCTCGGGATAGATTTTCAGATGATCATTCACGAAGCATGGATGATCCGGCAGCATCTTAGACGCCATCGCGAAGAGATCCTCCTCTGAGTCAGAGATCGGACGGATTTCTGGCAGTACGTGCAGAGCCTTCTTGAAATTGGTGCAAAGATCGTTGAAGTTGCTGGCAAACTCTGGCATGTTCACATGGCACAAGTCGAGCGTCAAGAGGCAGTCCAACTGCCGCATGATTTCTAGAAGGTGAAAGTGTCTGCTCTCAGCCTCGTCTAGCCAAGTATTCCGGACGAAAGATAGCCAGAGGAATTCTGATGCCTTGACTGAGCTTTTCAGGCTCAGCTGCAATGCGTCTTTCTCCTGTTGCTGCACCGGGCAATCACTCGCCAGAGGGCACCAGCCACCGAGAGGTGCCGTCGCATGCACGGCAGCGAGAGACATGCGCAGGGCCCACATAGCAAGGTATGGCAAGGCTGCAAGCTAGGGTGCAAGCAAGGCTGCAAGAATGAATCGCGTCAGCACCGAAGTCGACTCAGAACAACTCGGTCGTTCAATCTCTTCATCGTCTGCCAAAGCATGACTGTGGCCGAGAAGCACTGGCAAAGCCAACACGGCCAGTACAGGCAAGAAGCGACCTCAGTTGCAAAAAGGAGTAACAAATCAACGACAGTTCCTTCAGAACCTTGGTCCAAGAGACACCGAAACAGTGCAACGAGCATACATGTACGTCGCCTGTGTGCCAGAAAAGATTCGCAGTGAGGGAAGCCAAGCACCGTTTACTGAATTGGCACGGCTTACACAACAAGTACACCCTTTGCGGGAAGGAAGTAAATTATCGAGCCATTCCATGAATCAGATAACTATGCGGATCTATGCGGCATATTGCAGGGCTACATGCAGAGTAGCCAGATCTTTGATCTAACTAGCATACCCTGACCGAACCTGAAATCTGGGTGACACCCCGAAGTTTGAGTTGCTAAGCTGAGGGCGTCCGCTTGCGACCTGCCCGCAGTGGCCCAGCAGCGGCCGGGCCGCCATGACTGCTGGCACTCCGTGCTCCACGGTCCCGTGACGCTTCACGGCAAGAGCATTGCTTTTGGTTTTTACGAGGAGGGCAAACCGGGACCTACACTGCTGACACGTACACGTTCAGAAAGGGAACCATGCTGGAACAATCTGGGAGTGGGACTTGAAATTGCGCATCCAGGCTGAGAGCAGGAGTGTTCCAAGTCCTACACGCGGAACACGAAGCTTTCAGCACAAAGGCACGTCTGCACCCCAAAGAAGCCACATGCACGCTCAACTTCGAATGCATTGCTACAAGAACCGAAGCGCCGCAGCACAGCAGCAGGGACGCACTGCAGGAACGATCACCTCACTACACACCGCACCGCCACCAAAGGCAAAGTCAACAACATCCGTAGAAGCAAGTTACATAAGAGGAAGCTTGGAGCACCACGATACAAGACTCGAGCAGCAGCCTAGCCTGCATCCGAGCCAAAGGTGCAACCAAATATCCCGGACAGACACGATCCACAATTTTCGCGGGCTGAGACGGGCCAGAGCACTCTGTTTTCCGCGCAGTATGCTTAGGACTGCAACACTAGCCTCCTAATTTGTTTGCGAGAAAGTCCTTGCTGAAATCTGCAGATGGATTGCGAACTGTAAGTTAAACTGTTTCTACCACTTTCGCTTTTGTGGTCAATGCTGCGAGACTGATACAGCAGAGGCAGATTGCACTTGAAAACATGGAAGCCTAGCAAAGCCTCTAGCACATACGATAAGCCACGAGCTCGGACTCCTAAAACATAGCGTGGCATGGGCTGCGCATGTCCACTCGTGAGCTCGGATCACCTCTGGACCCTAGGACAGCCAGCTCTGTGCTTCTTGCACTTCCGACACAGTACCCACTGCACGCCTCAAGAGCACATCGACCTGAGAATAGCAATTCGATGGGAGGTGCTACCAATGTCAATGCCGGCGCGCACCCGAAACCCTCACGCGAAGAGTGAAACAGAGAGAGCGCAACCCACATTATGTGCTCTTTCCGGAGCTGGCTTGAGCCTGAGCTGAGCTGTTGAGCTGTTGCTGCCAGGTTCGAGCACTTTCGAGGCTTTGGCATCGTGGTTTCATTCAAGTCATCACTCAGCGCTTCAAGGGCAACGCGAAAACACACGGCAGACCGCTCCTCCACATTCTCTCTAACTACCCAAATTGGTCCCAACTGTCAATCCCATGTTAAAAAATCAACCTGTCTTCATCCAAGACACGCCTACGATGGCGAAACGTCCTGCCAGATGCATCTTCCCAGCTCTCTTCTATCGTTAACAATCATGAGGCATCCATGCGATTTTGCGGAACCCTCGGATCCTCCTCATTCTGATAGGACTGGATCTTCTCTGCCTGAGCCCCACGCTTGCAGTTCCTCGGCGAAAGCAAGAACACGGCTAAACGGAAGCAACCCATCAAGCACTTGCAAGCCTTATGAATCTTTGGGGGGGCCGGAATTCGGCGAACACGAAAAAGTGCTCTAGGGAGCCTAAGACAAAGACATGCTAGACCGCTAGAATCTGCCCCTGCAAGCGCTGGTCCATACCGCTGCTGTCGTTGTGAGTTCCATGTGAAGTCAGCTTCAAAGACACACACTCTCTCGATTTCCAGCATGCTGATGCCCTTTTTGCACTTGGCGAGACGGTAACACTCGTCTTCGGAATTAGCGACGCTGTCGGGCCGTGAACGCCAGTCTGTACCACAGCATGCAGAGCTTGTTGTTTATTGTTCTCTTTGCAGCGGGCATGGCGCGGACATCAAGTGCAACTGCAGGAGCTCACGAATCTGAATGCCCGGCAGGTGGCTCTGAGTAAGAGTCACTGAAGTGCGAGTTGGTAGCCATGTGTAACACTTGAAGTGAGAACCTGTGCCATCGTCCGAAATCGCCAAGCAAATCTTCCGAAGCCCTGAAGATCTTCAAAAAAAGGCAAGGAGCAAGTCGTAGACCACGTTGCCCTCCTGCAAGCACGGGCAGCTTCAGGATGAGCTACGTTTTCTTTACATGTTAATGAGACCCTTCCAAGAGCCACATAGTACATAGTACATAGTGCGCGCGGCTCGTCACTGCGGGTGAGGGGAGCCAAACTAAACCTGCCTTACAACCGGTTGTTTCGCTTAACGCTTCGAGTCAAGCGTCCGGACAGAAGCGTCATGCTCGTTACGTAGACTCAAGAAATGGATGTTACTGTGTCTAGCGGACTGTGATTGCATCTGACACTCCGCCACAGCATATGAAGAAAAAGTAAACAGTGAACTGCAACATTGCCAAGGCATTCCTTGAGCCGTATGCCCTCCACAATGGCATCCATCCAGCGGTTCTTGGAATCGCTCCAATATTGTACCTGCAGCGAACTAGAACTGCGAAAAGAACGGTTTAATTCTCGATGCAAGATTGGCTGTTCTACGGTGGTCCCTCGTTGGTTTACTGCTCGTGTTTACTATGTCCACTACGAGTAGAATGCTTCTCCCGAGACTGGCAACATACTACGGGTAGTCACTGCGATCATTATGGCGCCGTTCTCATAATTACATCGTAGCACTGATGACGACGATGATGGTATTATGATGGTATTTAGTGTACCAGCATACTGGTGATGATGTTGATGATAATGGTGATGACGACTGTGATGATGGTGACGACTATGGCGACGACGACGATTATGATGATAATGATGGTGATGAGGCCGGCGATGTTGATTCATGGTGGTGGTGATGCTGCTGCTATTCATAATGATGATGAAGATGACGATGACGAAGGTGATGATGGTGGTGCTGAAGATGACGACGACGATGATGATGATATGATATGATCTGATCTGATCTGATCTGATCTGATATCATTTATACTGCGATATGATATGATACCGGTGATGCTGGTTGATGATGGTGGTGATGCTGAACATGGCGATGATGATGATGATGATGGTGATGATGATGATGATTGTGATGACAATGATGATGCTGATGATGCTGCTGGTGACGATGAAGAAGAAGATGATGATGATGATTCATGATGGTGATGATGCTGATGATGGTGACGACGGCGATGATAAGTTGTTCGATCTGCAATTTCTGGCTCTTCTGCCATATAACAAAGCACCAAACAAAACACTGAGACGAGGATGGCCCTCTGGTAAGACAGATGCTTGGGAACCTCAGTGTGCAGGCACCTGCTCCCCCAAAGCGAACTTGGCCGTCTCTAGCGCCTCACCAGCAAAGACATCAGCGAGATGGCTCGGGCAAGCTCTTGGAAGCACGTCTCGAGTCTCCGTTACCACAGAACCGACGGACATTTCCGACTTCAATCGAAGCGGCAGGATCCAGCGGCTGCTGCGCCGCTTGCGAGGGACCTGCAAAGGTCTTGCGCCACGATCCGAGGCGTGCACAGATCCGCGACTTCACATGACGTGCACGTCGCACACTGGCTCTCACCGTTTCGCAGGAGACCTCGCCTGACTTTTCTGGAGCAGCGGCCTGGACGGCAGTGTAGATTCTCGGGGTTAGACTTTAGGAACCAGAACTGGCAAACGCCCGTCTCCATTTCCCAACATGTCTTACTAGGCATCTATGTAGATTATTGCTCGCCGGTCTCCACACGGAACCATCACCATCCCTCACCATAAACGCTTCATTTGCATGCCGCCAAGTTGCAGCACCGCCACTGTACCCAGCCATCCGTGCACCTCGTGAAGAGCCAATTGTCAAAGCTCCCCCCCGAGCCCGTTTCTGAAGGCCCTGCGGACGAGGTTGGCCCAGACTTGCTTAGGGCTATGGACTTCGGAGTCTTGTGCAGAGAACATTCAGCGGGAGATGCATTAGAAGTTGAATCATGGGGTGGGAGGACGCTTTCAGCGCTGCCACCCTGCACCTCCCCGTCTTCTCTTCGAACCTCCGTCCCGGTCGAAGGCCAAGGGCCGAACGTCGCTCTTCCGGAAACTCGGTGAGCGATTTGGTGACCGTTTGGGTCACTACATCCTCCTGCCCGGTGGGAGGAAGCTGCACCCTGGACGGACTAGCAACCCCACAGCTTTTGCCTCCGGGAACTCCTCCTCGCCGTCTTCGTAGTACTGCGCAAGTTCGATCACAACATCTTGCCAGACTGATCCAGACTGGACACAGTGAGCTGCATGTGCAGCACGCGAGGGCAGCAACAGCTCATTCGCACGCAGGGCAACATGTACTGAGTCTTTGGACTCCAGCTGACGGAGGGGAGCAGTCTCAGCTTCTGCGAATCCTCGTCGTCGAAGTCATCCTCGTGGTGCGCCAGCTCCTGGAGCAGATCCAGATGCGCCGCAAGGCTATCGCTTTCTCGCTGAAGCCCCCAGCCTGGAGGGCTTGGCTGATCGTCATCTCTCCCGGCAAGATCTCCTCCGTGCTCGGCATGACTGCTAAGGGGCCGACGCTCCTCTGCCAGCTCCTCTCCTGATAACTTGCCCCGCAGGCCGGACACTGAGTCATGCCGGGATCCCGTCCTAGGACGCGCCCCGAGTCGCATCCGGCTACGAAGGCCCGTCAGACATGGCGAAGGTGTAACTGAAGCGCGGAGACACGGCTCCGGGAAACATCGCCGAGGCGCTCGAATAGCCGCACTGCATGCAAGCCTTGCCTTGGCTAAGGCCAACAGCCGGCGGCTCCGTGGTGAATGTGTGCATTGCTACATCTGCATCTTGGAGCACTTGGAGGGTGCGAAGGTTTCTCAGAGTCTTGGGTCCTATGACAGACCCCTGACGGCCAATCATGATGCTTCCGTGATTGTCGACGGATGGCCATGTCTGATCGGCCGTGCCGCGAAGAAGGATATTCTCCAGCAACCCATCATCCTCCAGACCCTGCAGATCAGAAGCATTGCCGACCTGGGATGCCCAACAGATCTGTGTTTTTTCAAGCTTCGAGAGTGCCTAGACGTGAGAGCCCAGCAGAGTCATGAGTTCAAGTCTGTTTTGACATGTTCTGACCGGGAGGCCATGCCTTGTCCAGGTGTGGTCGGGTGATTTACAGCCCGATTCCCATACAAAACTTGCAGATTCTGCCAGACCTCTCATACACACACACACACACACACTAGTTAGGCACTCCTCTTCGGAGACCAGTCCAAGGCGCATAGTTGCCATCGATGAACACCTGCGCAGAAACCACAGAACACCATACGCCACTATGCGCAAGGAACCCTACAGCGACCTCCGGGTCCAGAGATGTCGCAGCATGCACTCAGTGGCTCGAAACCAAAGTCTGCAACCCTACTCCGACCCCCTAATGCCGCAGACTTTCATGCAACTTTCTGGCCCAAATTGGAAATTACCGAAATCCAAACCCGACGCCCTGCAGTTGTGAATTTTCACGGAGACCCCCGGTTTGGATCTGATGAGCGCAGGCCTGTGGAAGGAGCAAATCATTGTTGCCACCTGTCTGAAGTCTCCGGTCCTCCATCAACTTTTGGATGGCCTCGGCGGAACTGCCCTGCCTCTATGAATCCTGTGTTGACTTTGGGCGGTGTTTAAAACTTTTGGCCTTCACGTCGTGCCCGCTGGTAGGCTCGCTCGTTCTCTCATCATCATGCCTCTCTCGCTTTTTGCTTTGCTTTGCTTGGGGTCAGGACCAAGAGCAGTCCTCTTGGCCCGCGCCGAAGCGCTTACCCATCCATCTTGTTGACCCGCTCTCTCTCTTTCTTTCGCCAGGGCTGTGGTGCAGGAGAGCAAACCCCCCTACACCGCGCGCGTCAGCGCCCCCGACTGTTGCGGGTGCCAAAGGAGGGAAAAGCAAAAGAGGCAACTGCCCTCAGAAGGATCGACGGCGATGTCCCCGAAAATGTGCCGTCCAGCTCTCTCTCTTCACTTCACTTCACTTCACT